TGCAACTTTAATAGAGTCAATCTGATTCAACCAATTTAGTTTTACATATCTACCCTACAATTCAATATGACGTCATCCTCACACACAACCATATTTATTTAACAAATCACATCGATACTCGTCTCAAGGAAGGTCTTTAATAGAGTCGGTGGTGGCCAATGAACCCTATCCAACCCAACCCAACCCAATAACACCATCTAATCTATAACAGCTTATCTAAAACTCTCGAGTAGATATAGTAGAATAAAATATAGCATCATCCACTTCTAAATCTACCCTTAGGGATGAAAGGTTGTATTCCTGGTCCTAGAGACAGAAAGGAGACTCATTTGGTACTTTGGCTCAATAAAGATAATTTCCAAGTCTCACATGCTGAGGGCTTTTGTATTTCAAACGGGGCGAGCTTCATGCTTGGCGTGCCACACTTAATTGGAGTGGATTTTGGTTCTAGTATGAATCCAGTGGATGTTTGTTTTTGGGTACGTATGGCAATAATACTTGCGAAAGGAATAGATATAGATATGGTAAGACTAATTTAATGGAGTTAGTAGTGGGCTGCATCCTTGAGCTCTTCGATGGGTTTGCGGAGGTAGTTGATGAAGTCGGTATCGAGTTTACAAATAACTAGGAAGAGAATAACAGTGGTTACAAGGAGTAGAGCAGCCCCGGTGATGAACGTGCAGGTTGAGAAGGTTCTCTGACGTGGTTTTTTGTCTTGTTGGGAAGTTAGTCGGGAGATAGTGTAGTCCAATGTGGCTGCTAGAGCCATTAAAACAGGGAATAGGCCTAGGGCTTGTTGGAAGTTTGTGTCGGCATAAGCTAATCCAATAATGAAGACAATGAGATGGGCAGCTGCGGTGAGAAGGAAGAGATGATTGGGAATAATCATGTGTGTAAGAAGATAGATAGGCCATGGATTACCTACAATTAGAGCAGGTAGGACTAGGAGAATAGTTGATAAGACGCAAATAAAGAATCGAGTGGGCTCACTTATCTTGTGGTTGTTTGAATCAGTGGTGGTAGCAGCCTTCCAAAGAATAGTGGTAAGAACTAAGATAATGAAGAGACAAAGTAAAGGGAAGAATCCGAGTGTCTGGAAGTAGCCGAAAGAGGCCAGAAGAACGCCAAAGTAGAAGAAGCAAACTAATAAAAGGGACCAGCGAATGATTTGTCTTGCGATTTGGATTAGACTTTCAGAAGTACTTGGGGCTTTAAGCTGGTTAAGAACATCTTTTGATTGCTCGGTAACAACAACCCAATCAGGAGGTATGTTAATATGAATCATTGATCCCTCTATCTCTATGTGATTATATACCTTGAGTTTAATTAGGGTAGAAATGGAAGAGCTTATTCATCTGGCCTTGTTGGGATAACTTGGTTTTAGATTTAACTGAGTTATGGTTAAATTAAGATCATTTAAAGTTAAGTTAAGTGTGTTGCTCCAATCCAGCCTAATCCATTTGTTACTTAGATTGGGCGATTGGGTTAGTAATTCGAATTAGAAATATAAATTGAGATGAAAGCTGAGATTGAAACAAAACTAGAGGGGTTTAAACTAAATTGAGATTTAAGAATTTGTGATGACAATTGGTTTATGTCATAATATTATTTCCTTTTATGGTCAATACCCAGGGAAGGTCCTGTTTAGATAGCTGGAGTAGAATCCAAATACTAACCCAATGTATGATTGTGCGATTCTTGGGGCAACTAAGTAAGTGATATGTTGATCTTTGTTGTCTAAAGTTGAGATGGGTTGGAATTAGGTCGGGTTAGGATGGATTAGGACTAAAGGATAGATTAATTCAGCTAAACTTGTTTATTAGGTTATATTTGGTGTTTGGAGATGGGAATACCGGGTGTATAGGGAGGTTTTCGTAATATCGTCATTTAAAATCCAATAGATAAGGGTGACAAAAAGAATAATGGTACATAGTAGATCGATGATTGTCCAAAGTTGACCATGACGTATGCTGTGAACTAAGCCCCTCCAGGAGCGGAGGTTTTGGGGTAGGAGGGAAGCCAGGCGATTGTCAGAAGCTTGGCATGCAAGTTTGGCCCCAAAGGCACCTATATTGACGCTCATACCATCTATTAGCATGAAAACGGCAAGTCCGTATAGGAGTCCTGGATGTTCAAAAGCGATATGATGGATGGTAGTAAAAAGAGTTTCGTGCTGATAAATAATCCAGAGCTTTAGATGGAAGCATAATATGCAAAGCAAAAGCGTGGCGGCTTCTTGGTTATTCTTCAGGAAGTCACAGTCGTTGTTCACAGATACGTACTCGTTTTGCTTAAAGTCGAGAAAGAAGCATTCAGCTGGTGGCAAGCACATCTTCTTATAGATGATTGGAGCCAATATGATTATATAAGAAATAGGATCAATCACCCCAGATACACAGATAATAAATGCAATCCCGAAGGAGTTCTTGTAGGCACCCCAAACAGTCCAGATAACAGAATCAAACAAGCGGCAGTACTTAAGAGTCAAAAAAGCGTAGGATAAGAGATAGGTTTCCGTGCAAAGAAAGATAGCAAAACCGATGAAGACGGGTAAAAGTATGTTTTTGTGATTGCGGAACTCAGTCAAAGTCATCTTATATTTAGGTGAGCAGTAAATAAAGAAGTGGCAGGCCCGAATGAATATAACGATATCCGATAAAAAGTTGCCCAATAGATAGATTACTAGTAAAGGCATAAATAGGTCAACGTAAACAATATGCGAAAATGCACCGTAGCTATTCTGAAGTGCCCTAAAGTAAGGCCACAAAGTGAGCATAATTAACACTCGACAAAAGATTGATGTTACTGTGCCAATCTGCATAGCCACATCCACTAGTAATTCTTTGTTACTAGTATGTATCGGTTTAGTAGTGGTTGGGTGCCACATATTTTCATACGGTGGAAATGACACGATCTTGGGCATTTCAGCCTCGTGTTCCATTAGATGGTTAATGTAAGACCGTGGCTCACCTGACACTATAGGCCGACTGTAACGACCTGAGCCATGGTCTGGCAGAACAAAAGTAACCTTGCGGTTGTTTCGGCCAGTTAATTGTGAATTCATGTTATCTTTTCTATCTAAACCCAAAATAAATTAGAAATCGAGTGATTCCGGAAATCAATCAAGCCGGGTTTATCATAATTCAGTCCAATACTATCTCAATCCCAGCTATCTTAAACCAAATTTCACAAAATTACAGTAAATTCACGCTAAGATACTAACCCAAACAGTAAAGATTTAATGTTATAAACTATTATCCAGGCCTACTGCCACTGGTACTTTCTCTCTTTAACACGACTTAGACCAGCTGCATTGAACATTGCTCCAGGCTTGTTTTCCAGCTCAACTTGGCTTTCGGCATGCCAGCCTTCTTTGATTTCCACGATAGGACTCTCTTCAACAGCAATAACCGTTGTATCACTTGGTTCATCCAAATCTTCATCCAAATCTATTTCCGTTTCTGTTTCAGTTTCTGTCCCACTCTCATCCATCTCATTATCGTCCCCACCATCAGAATCACTACTATCACAGGTCAACTTAGCTATGCGTTTACGACGAGGCTCTGAAAGTGTCTGAGAAGGCGCAGAGGCAATTGAAGAACTCAAGATATTCTTAGTCTGTTCAGCGCATGGACTAGCCACAAAACCATCCGGCCGCGCACTACAAACCAAATTAGCATCCGAAAGAGTTATCAACCCATCAATTTCCAAATCAGGTATGCCCATAAATCCACTACTAACTGTATCATTACCACAAACATCCGGACTAAGATCTATACTAGCCTCCGGTGCTTTAGGCTCTTCCTTTGGTACTTCTAGTCGAATGTACTTACTTTGGCCATTGAAATCACGCTTTTGTGCTATTTTGTTAATCACTAGCTTAACTGCGCTCTCAGCTCTCAATCTCCGGCCAAGATCTTTGGTTTCAGACAAGTATCGTTTAAGTGCTTCTTCTCTCGTATAATACAGTTCGGGTTGCTTTCTATCTTGACTTCTGACCATGAGAATTTTGTCTCCCATGCAAAAGAACTACTTCGATCTCCAACAATTACTTGAAGAACTAACCCAAGAGTACACTTCTCCCTATGATAATCTTTCTGATAATCAAAAGGCACAAATATATCTACAAAGAGATTATGAGTATCTCTTAGCTGCACAAACAGTTTCACCTGAACTAGTACCACTTGTTCATGATTATCCAATCTTACGTCCTGCTTTAACTATTGCCCAAGTAGAAGAGCTCATCTCACAAAGCAACCGAGCAACCACTCCCGAGTCTGCTGTTTGTTCTGCTTGCTCATCTAAACTTAATAGTCCCAACTCAAGCAGTAAGCCACGACTTCAACCAAATACACAAATTAGTAGCAATACTAGCAATAGTAATGCTAATAGTAACAGCAATAGCAATCGCAATAGTGGAGGCAACTCGGGCCTGCTAGGGTTTACTTCGGCACGCAGCCAACTTTCACCAGAAGATGCAGCTCGATTGCCGAAATCAACTAGTAAGAGTACTGGAAGTAGTACTAGCACGGGTAGAGTTATTTCTAGTACTTTAGCTAATCATAGTAATAGTGTGCCTAACAATACGGATGAGAATTCAGAATCACCAGTGGATGCTAAATTACTACAAATGATTTACAATGAAGTCTTACATCCTCATACTCAGATGAGTTGGGATGAAATAGCTGGGCTAGTTGAAGTTAAGACGGCTATTAAAGAGATCATTATTTGGCCTATGCTACGGCCAGATCTCTTCAAAGGTCTTAGAGGACCACCACGGGCATTACTTCTCTTTGGGCCACCTGGAACTGGGAAGACTCTTATTGGCCGGTGCATCGCTTCACAAGCCGAAGCCACCTTCTTCTCAATCAGTGCCTCGTCCTTGACTTCTAAATGGGTTGGTGAAGGGGAGAAGATGGTTAGAGCTTTGTTCTATGCCGCCATGAAACGAGCTCCAGCAGTTATTTTCATAGATGAGATAGACTCACTACTTATGCAACGAACCGAAGGTGAGAATGAAAGCACGCGACGACTTAAAACCGAACTGCTAATTCAAATGGATGGAGCTAGAGCATGTGAAGAGCATGTTTTAGTAATTGGTGCTACTAATCGCCCGCAAGAAATAGATGAAGCAGCCCGACGTCGATTTGTCAAGCGTCTGTACATTCCTCTGCCGGATAAGGTGGCACGTGCTGAAATGATCAAGCAAATTGGAGGCGAAGAACTAGCGATGGATAGCACTGAGATTGAACAACTAGCAGAAGGTCTAGCTGGATACTCTGGATCGGATATTTTCAATCTGTGCCGAGAAGCAGCTATGGAGGCCGTTCGAGAGTTGTCATCTTTAGCATCAGTCGAAAGACTCCGTAAAATTGGATCACGAGACTTCCAGAAAGCCATGGCCCAGATAAGGAAAAGCGTCTCAGAAAAAGACCTCAAAGTTTACAGTGACTGGAATGAAGACTTCGGCAGTACTCCTAACATTCCAGCCAACTAATAGACCATACAATACCAATTACCAAGCAAATATTGCCACAACCACAACAACCAAGCAATAAACCAAATGTTAACTTAGATATTAACTTAGATATTTATCATAAGCCCCAATCCCATAATACCTCCTTACATACTTCAACCCAACTCAACACCAACCCATCACCTAACCCAACCCAACTCAATACTAACTCAATCTAACTCAGTTGCAAACCAAATTGGGTTAGTATTTCGATGACTACTGACTACCGAGACAGTTCAATCCAGACAAACAATACTTTCTTAAACATTGCATCAGTATCATATATACACATGATAATATCACCAGGAAATGAATAAACAAAATGAAGATATGTTGATGTCATAGTATTTCCTAAAAAGGAAAAAACCCGACAAATTACGTAATTGATAACGATTTTCCTTAGTTGGCGCGATTTTATTTTTAGAGCCATGCTAAAGACTATACGACATAATTCAAAAACTAACTCAGAAGATTGCTTATATTTATCAATCTTATTGAGAGCTCTTTTATATACATGTTGTTTTTGTCTCGGACAGATACTTGCTAGTACTTCAACTATAGATACCAATCTTACCCGCCAAATTAACCCGAGTTGGACAACTTCTATTACTATTCCCCAAGCTAACCCAATTCCCAGTCTTCCCAATATGCCAATAGACAATAGTTATTTCAAAGTCCCAACTGAAGATAGTTCACATGCCATGACTTTCGTACTAACTAACAACCAAAGTGACTCAGAACAAGAGGCTCTATACAAAGATATAGTAGACAATGGCCACACAGATATAATTATTAGACCCAATAGTACGCCAGATAAATCAATTGCTACTAACTCACCAACTACCTCTCTTAAACCAATCTTATGTCCCTATATGGCTCTATGTCGTCTTTTGTTCACCAGTAATTGTCTTAGTATAACTGTATGCCAGTTTACCTATGAGTATAACAGCACAGAAATTAAAGAGCTAGAAGATGTTATGAACGTGTACATTAACGATTTGCCCAAGTTCGCTCGATGGAAAACCGTGGATCTAATTATAGTGGAAGGCAGTCCCGGGGTAGTTACCACGGTATCTCAACTAGCTGTTCGTTCGCCTTGGATTGGCCGGCTGATTATAAGTCAGAGTCAGAAACTTAAGCCATTAGACTGGCTAGCCGGTAACCAATGGACACAACATCGGCAGTACGACTTAGTGGTGTGCAATTCTACTTTTGAGTGCCAGATAGTCACCAAATCAAATATCTTCTCACAACTCAACTGGTATAGAACTGCTATTCATACAACTCTGCATAACATAGACTGGATTAATACGTCATCTTCAACTCTAGGTATTGAGTATCTACAATTGACCAATTTATACCTCAAATCCTCTACCTTTACTAAACTCATACGCACACACTTTATGTTGATGCGGCTCAACCGACTAAGTGTTTATTGTGATTCAGCATGGGTTGCCAGCCACATTAAGACCACGACTAGCACTCAGCTAAATCATAATAGAAAAGCAGCCAAACCTAATGCCGGCCGGATTAGAGCAAAAAACCTAATTATTCGTACTCCTGGTGATCTTAATGTTACTCAAGACTATCTATTCAGTATATTTGACCGACTTGAAGTTCATTCTTCAGCCATTAAGAGACTAAGGATCACCAGTCCTTTAGAAGAGGACAAAACAGTAGTTCTATTCGTTATTGCCCCAGTTAATGTATGTTTAGCTAAGTGTTTCAAGAAAGAAGCAGCAGATAGTTCTTTAGCCAATTCAGATCATACTATAAGTCTTGATCTCGGTCGTATGGGCGACAAAAACCTTATTTACAACATCATTAAGGATTCATATGAAGCCACCGCTACTCTAAATGACTATCCCCTTCAAAAAGTCGCTATCTATTATCCCCAACACGTAACAAACATCCAAATTGCGACTAGATATTACAAGTTACTAACTCATCTAGTTGATTTATTCCTTAGTAAGCAAATCACTACTATTTCTATCGTTGGATTAGATAACAAATCTACTTCCGATAAATCAGGAAAAGGTGGTAGTAAGCGGGGCTGTTTTAGCTGCACAAAAAGATCGAATGTCCAACTAGGGCAATCTTCTCAAGATGCTCCTTCTGATGCTTACTTGCCATCTACCAATACCGAACTAGTTAGAAAGGTAGTTTGGATCCCTGAAATCCCCGAAGACCAAATTCAACTCCAAGTTCATACAGTTTTAGAATTTGAGAATCTCACTGACGGCACAGCATCAAATATTATAATGACAGTCAAAAAGCCCAGCAGTATTGGAGCAATCAAAGTCTACAACTGCCCCGTTCAAACAGTCGACCAACTTTTTATCAACATCCAAACTGCCGATTCCCGACTTATTAACTTAGAAGCAATTTATCTAGACGCACTTAGTTTTACTGCTATTTTAAAGTCAAACTCAATCATATCTAAACAATCTTCAACTACCACTGCCCTAGGTAGTAGGTCATCACAAACCAATATTTCATCCCAATCCAAATCATGGATTGCTATCATCAACAAACTACGTCTTATTTTAGATGAGACAACATTCAATACTTACCAAACTACTATTCAAACTCTATTCAACAGCCGCATGCCTCTCTCGCTTAAGTTTGATCCTATCGCAATACCCCGTATAATCGATAAGCTCGACATGTCCAACATAACTATCGTCCATCTTTACAACCTTACCCCCGCCCAAATCCAGCAATGGAGTCAATCCCCAACCAGCCCGAACCCCAATCTCTTCTCTGGCAAACACCTCTACCTCCATATCACATCCTCCGAATCCCTCAATAACCAATCCGAGTGCCAAGCCCTCTGCCAAGTCATCACTTACCTCCAAGTCCATACCAGCTACCTCTTCATAGAAATAGATTCACTCCTCTCTCCCACCACCATCACTACCCTGCAACAACTAGTCGCCGCTCCATCCAATCCCACCACTCCATCCCCGCCCAAATCCATCGTCCTTATAATCCACGGTCATCCTCTCCAAAGCTACCATACTCTATAACTATCCTAATTCAATAAACAACTTACTTACTACTTTACTACTTTATTGTCTGGCTTTACTATCAAATTAGTACCATACCAACTCAACCTAACCCACCCCAACACACTCTAACCTAACCTAACCTAACTCAATCCAACTTAATCTAAACCAAATCCATTTAAAGCATCCAGACCTTTATTGCCAGACATTACTCTAAGCCCGTTCAATACCAACTCAATACCAAGTTAAGTCCAGCCCAGTCCGCAACTAAACCCAACTAAACCCAACCTAGCATCAACTCAATACTAGCCCAATAGTTATTGGCAGTAAGGCTTCCAATGCGCCGCTGAAACAGGTGCTGAAAACCCATGCTCATACTGCGCCCCGCCTTCTCGTAGCTTATAAAGCAACCGTCGACCGGCATCCGCATGCGAAGGCATCCCTAAATGCTCCATTGATAGAACTAAATCCTCGCCCGTCAAAGTCTTCCGCTTCTCTATCTTACAGAGATCCTGTGCCTTACACGTAATAAACGCAATAAACTCAGAAGCCGCTCTTTGCATCATTTCCTTAGCATCTTTAGATATCTTAGCTGACCCTGGAATAGACTTCTTCATAATCCCAGCTACATTAGCCACTGGCAAAAGACGATCGCTCTGTTTCATTCTAACCCAATACTATCCCAAATCCTTATATCCCAAAGACTAGCTTTATTTGTTATGACTACGACTGCTTCACTACCCCATCAACCCGTAGGACTATAATAGCCCCCTCAATCGCTGCCTTAACTGCTTGCTCCTTCACTACCAAGCACTCATAAACCGTACTCACCCCTACTTCACCCGTCAACCCATCCACACCATAAGAACTCTTCTCCTGCCGATGGTACTCCTCCAACTCCAACATTCCAGCCCGTACTCTACTCCGCCCGGAATTAGCCATTAATAAGCCAGGAATTGATCGGAAAGCCCGAGCCATCACTAAAAAGACTTCCTTTTCCCAGGCGCCAACTTCACTACCCAGGCCATTACTAGCCTTTTCTAAACTTTCAGCTACCGCCATCTCAATAGCCCCACCGCCATAAACTAAGTGCTGACTAGTAGCTAAGTTCTTAGCAATCCCTAGAGCATCACGTAAATTACGTTCTAACTCGCCTAAGACATCTCGAGAAGGTCCCCTTAGAACAACCGTACAGGCTTTAGCTTGAGCATTCCCGAGAATAGTAGCATAAGCCTCACCATTAATCCAGCTCATCTTAAACTCCTGGGCCTGACCTACATCCTTAGCCGTTGCATCAGCTGCTCTAGAGATAATACTAGCCTCAGTACATAAGGATAATCTAATAAGATCTGATTTCTTAACTCTTCTTAAAGCAACCACTCCAGCCCTAGCTAAGATAGCAGCTGCATGATCACTAATTCCCTTCTCAGAGATAATCAAGTTAGGTTGTAAAGATAAGAGTATCTGCACAGATTTCTCAATCTGGGCCTCTTCTGCCGCCAAAGCCGCTGAGAAGACTTCTTTCTGATGCATCTCAATAGCCGCTTGGTTCTCACCCTTCCGATACTCCAAAGGGAAATCCACCAGTACAACCCGTGGCTGCACCAAGTGTTTAGGCATACGTACATCCACTGCTTCTTTCTGTAGAAGTACACCGGGCAAAACATAAGACTCTTCCACTCGTCCCCCTAAGACTTTCTCAACTCTGATAGCATGTTTAGTATCCACTACAGATTGATCTTTTTGTTTAACCAAAGATACAGCTTGATAAGCTATATCTTCTAATTTAAGCAACCGATAACAAAATTTAGTAGATAAGGCCTGACTAATAACTTTTTTAACAATTATTTCCTCATTAGTACTCTTATCTTTACGTAATAAACTAAAATCAAAAGAATTCTTCTTTAACGACCCTAAAACAATCTCCAGTCCTTTTTTCAGACTAGCACAAATCCTAACTGGATGTACTTTAGCTTTAAGCAGGGGTAGTAATCCTTGTAATAAATTAGCAGCTAAAACCACAACACTAGTCGTCCCATCACCTACCTCTTCACTTTGAGTCCTTGATAATTCAATCAAAGACTTAATCACTGGATGAGATACTTCTATCTCACGTAAAACACAATTACCATCATTAGTCAGTTCGATTCCTCCTATGCGCGTTAGAATCATTTTAAGCATAGATTTTGGTCCAATACAAGTTCTTATCAAATCGCACAAAACAGAGGCAGCTTTGATGTTTTCCTGTTGAACTAAATGGGGTTCATCTTTCTTCAAAACAGTTAGAGTGGCTACTTTTCTTGGTTCCATGAAAAAAACACACTTTTGCGATTAAGAACACCCCTAGTTTAATAAAAGTAGATGGAAAGAGTGCTTTGGGAAAGAATTAAGGCTTTAGATGGCCTGATAGATCGGATGAAAGAAAATAAAGAGATCGGGTTAGTTGAGATCTTACGAGAAGAGATCGAAAGGTTGCGCAGATTAAATGAAGAGTATGAAGAAGTAATTCAAAGGAAGAGAGTGAAGAGTAAAGAAGAAAGTGAAGGTAAAGTTAAGTATTGGTTGAATGATGGGTCTGTTTATGTAGTAAATAAGGATAGGAAGTATAAGTACTTGTATGATAAGAGTAGTGGAGTAGTGACTTATGAGTTTGGTAGTGGTCAAATAGAAAGGACGTTTCCGGGTGGGATTAAAGAGATAAGAACGGCCGATGGTAAAATTATTGTGAAGAACTCAGAGAAAGAGTATGATATAGTCAATAAATAAGTAGGTTATCTTAAATTGGGTTTGAATAAGGTTGGGTTTGGATTGGGTTAAGTTTAGGTTGAGTTGTTAAACAATCATTACTCTGTTTCCGTTACAAATTGTTTATTCATTGTTGATCGTATTAGGATTGGGTTAGTAGAGAATTCAAACCATATCAAATCCCAACTCAATAGTAGCTGGTATTATTAAAATTTAAGTATGACGTCATATCGTTGTCTACTTTCAATAAATGGTCGAGTATGCCGTATTGAGGTATTCTTTAATAGAGTATGTGTTGGTTAAGATGGATTGGGTTAAGTTGGGTTTGGATAAGATAGGGTTGGGTTTGGATAAGATAAGATAGAGTTAAGATTAAGTTGTGATATAATAGAGCTAAGTTAATAAGGTTGAGATAAGATAAGATTGAGTCGAGATAAGATAAGGTTATGTTATATTAAGTTGTATTAGGTTTAGATAAGATAAGATAAGGTTTATTTGTACTGAATTAGTAGTCATCATTGGTAGTTGTACTAACTTAAGTCATTATGGTTGGCCTGGTAATTAGGTGATGACTAGGCGGTAGATGAGAGAGTGGAGCCAGTTTTGGAGTCTGTGTGGGAGTAGGGCAAGGAGGTAGGAGAGTCGGAAGATGCTGGGGAGGTAGAGAGTTGCTTGTTTGTTGATGATGGCTTGGTAGATGGCAGTGGCTGTTTGGTGGGTAGAAAGAACGAATGGAGTTCTGACTGTAGCAAAAAGAGGTGTATCTATCTTATAGGGATAGACAGTTAGAATATTGAGACCTTCGCGGCGGAGGGAGTTAAGAAAAGTATGCATGAATGCTTTAGTGGCTGAGTAAAGAGCAACATTTGGGAAAGAAGCAATACTAAGTACACTATTGATATAAACTAAGCGATTAAATTGTGAATTTTGAATCATTTGTAAATGAGCGGATAGATTGATTTGTATGTACTGATTAACATAGTTAGTTGTAAGGGAAGTAAAAGGAGTAAAACCATCAAAAGTAGCATGATTAAGAATAAGTATATCACAAGTGATTTTTAAAGGTTTAACTGAAGAGAAATCATGATTAATATATGTACATGCAGAAAGTTTTGGATGTTTTGGTTTGTTTCTATCAATAATTGTGACTTGCCAATCTTTGTTCTTAAAGAGTATAGCTAAAGACTCGCCAAGACCAGAAGCACCACCAGTAATACAGACATGCATTGGGTTGCTAAGAAAAAAGTCTAGTATTCATTGGGTTAAGTTGGGTTAGTATTCAGATTGAGTTGAGTTGAGTTATGTTGAGTTGAGTTGAGTTGAGTTATGGGGTGATAATAAAGATAAGTAAAGATAAGATTAACTGATTAGGATTGGGTTAGATATGAATATACTATTGTGGATCGGTCTGTTTATTAACTGAGCTTTCGTGGTGTAGTGGTATCACGCATCCTTCACACGGATGAGGTCTCCGGTTCGATCCCGGACGGAAGCATTCCATTTTGCTACGAAGTACTAGTGCTGCTTTGTCTTGATGATAGTAAGTAAGTAGTAGTAGTGCTATTATAATAGTAGGTAGCTAGAGATTGTACTGGTGGCTGGTTGTTTACTCGGCAGTGTCTAGATCGGCAATCTTACGACGAAGGAATGCGTTCTGTTGCTTGAGAAGATGGAGTTGCCCGATGATTTGGGATCTTTCTCTTTGTAGGCGGGTGGATTCTTGGTCGACTTGCTGTTTGAGAGCTGTAATACGCGTACGGAGTTCTTCAACGGCTGGATGCGAAGTTTGGGGAGTGAGTTGAGTACGAGTTTCTTTGATTTGAGAGATAAGAGTTGCGATTCGTGTGATGATCTTTTGACGAGTATTATCTGTTTTTTGGGTTTGGTTGTTAATTGCCTGGGAGAGAGTGTAGATTTCCGTTGCTGTATCTTGAAGATAACTGATTTTCTCTTGGAGGGAAAGGGCTAGAATTAATGACTTATTAGTGACATCGGCTTTGAAGGTATTAAGGATCTTTTCTAAGAGTAGCTTTTGTTCTTCTTTAGGACGACCGTTAATTATAGCCAGATCTAAAGTTTGGTACTTCCTTAGAGTGGCTAAGATATTATCAGCAGCTGTAATTAGACCGGAACGTATACCTGTTTCTTCGGCTGGTACGGGTAAAGGCCGATCGGGTATAACTAGAGGAGTAACTGGGGCAGTAGTAGATAAAACTTGTGGTTGCGGGCCCAGAACAAGTAAATGCTCACCTAAACTAAGTACTTCTTCCGTAGCAGTTACTGAACTTATAATAAATGGCCCATCTTGTTGTAGTTCAATGAGTTGAGTTGTATCTTGAAGGAAGACGTGCTTAACAGCGAATAAACTAGGTCTTAAAGGTACAACTCGACCTTTTGTCTTATAAACATACACTAAATGGTACTCACTATCCTGAGCACGATAAACTTCTAAGCCAGTATGATAAACCACAACTAGTCCCCAGGTAGTAAAGACTTCTTGGCTAATCTCTTCCCCAATAAAGGTAAGTGGTTCTGGTTTCATTAGGACTGGTCCTTTAATAGCTAAAGTCGTTCGTGAGTAAGTAATTGTAGCTTCAGCAAATAACAGCTTAGTATTACTAGTACTATCTGTTTCAAGAATATTACTGGGAGTTAATTCTAGCATCATATCTCCTGATAAGACTAAACGATTATCTAGAAGACTTAACTTATTCAACTGACAAAAACTCAATCGCTTATCGCTTTTAAAAGTAAAGACTCTTGGTCTGTCTATCTTACGACTAAGATCAAGTAATGAGTAGACAGTCAGACCTTGATTGAATAGATTAACTAGTTTGCCTTTATCTATGTAAGTGGCTAGTGGAGTTGAATCTAAACGTACTTCTAGTCTTTCTTGAGTATGTCTGGGTATAATGATTTGTCTCTTCTTGAATCCGAACAGTAGATACTCGCCATTTTCATCAGCTAGAACATTTGGATTTTCACCCAACTTAAGAACATCGTTGATTTCAAATGATTCAAGCGTATCTGATAAACTAGAGTATCTAACAACCTTATTGTAACTAACTAAATATATTCCGCCTATAAAAACAGCTGAATATTGGTATTCTACAGGCAAATTCACACTAACTCTTCTATTAGTCATTAAAAAATATTCACTATCCATCTTTCTACTAACTCAATCCATACAACTCTTACCTAATCTACATTCTAATTCAAATCTAACTGCCGTCTTACTTAAGACTACTTTGGTTTAACGTCCCCTAATAGTATAATATATTATTGGATTGAATTGAATTGTTTATTCTTATCTTACTTCACTTCATCTCAACTCAATCTTATCTTATTTCATTCCACCTTAACCCCACCCCACCCCACCTCAATCCTATCTTAACTTAACTTAATCTTAATAATGATATAAATGTTATCTATTTGTCTACCTTTATTATTTATTCAGTATAAAGCTACTCTTAGTACTATCTTATTTCTATTTCTATTTCTAATTCTAATATTATTTCTAATTCTAATTCAAAGTCAAAGTCAACTTAATTCTAGTATGTAGAGTCTTGTTTCTGTTTTTACTTGAGAGATAGTTAGGTTAATGTGGTATGAAATAATAGAGATAAGTTAAGATTGAGATAAGTTGTGATATAATAGAGATAAAGTTAAGATTGAGTTAAGATAAGATAGAGATAAGTTGATAAGATACGGTGTACTTGGTGAATAGATTGTGTAGAGATTGTAGAGATAGTAGAGAGGACTTGATTTAACACAAAAGCGACTTTATTTAAATAACCAAATACGAACCAAATACTAACTTAATGCTAGCCTATTACATTCTTGGAGACTTCTAGAGTACTTAAGAACTCTTGATCTATTACTATCTCTTTTGTGACCTTTTTCCATGTACAGTAGTCGAAGTACAGAATCAGTCCGGGGGCATTGGTAGGTCTCTTTACAATTTGAACAAAGGTCTTCATTTGCCGACTAAACATCCATCCGAGTTGTAACAACCGACTATAGGCTTCATTTTGGACCTTCTCGCCACAATGGTTAAAAAACACGTAAAACAGTGTTCCTTCCGAAAACTTCTCTATCTTCTCCTCTTTTGTGCCTCTTATGGCTGTTTTATAACACTCGGGAAGAATACTATCTATTTCTCGATCGTTTGGGAATATTCGTTCTTCTCTATCATCCATTGGTGGGTTCTCTGGTGCGTCTATCTTCAATGCTTCCCTATAGATGTCCCGAAACATAAACATAAAATTTAGAATGAGATAATGTGTATAGAGGTCTAATCAGTACTTATGGAGACGTGTTTGGCATTTTGATATGGCTGGATGAAGTTTTGGGTTGGTTTGGTATTGTGTGGAGAAGACTGAGAGAAGTTTGATAGTCAAAATCATCCTTGGCTTGGGATAGACTCAATACTAGTCTTAAAACATGTTGTTTTTGAGATAAGAAAAGGATTAGTATTGGGTTGGTTTATGATAATTAAAGCAACTAAAGTTAAATAACAAATAGGTTAGTATTGGGTTAGTTGAGTTATTCAGTTACTTTTAGACTTGAGTTGAGTTAGGTTAGGATTGAGTTGGGTTGAGTTAGTATTGAGTTGGGTTAGGATTGAGTTGAGTTGAGTTAGTAGATGTATATATTAGTAGATGTATATTGGGATAGTATTGCTCTTTGTCGTGTTCTAAGATGGTAAGACGCTGTTTTCGGCTAGTAGTACTGCTATCAAGATATAATCAGACTAGACGTTCGCAGGATTTATTGAAATAATACTTTGGATTGGCTAGTACTGAGTTGGTATATCTCAAAGTGGGTTAGGGATGATAATTTGGAATTATGGTGCTAATTTATAAGTCTTACTGTTGATTAATGTCTTCGCTCTTGTAATTGCTGATGATAGTTAAAAAGATACACTAACCCAACCCAACCCAATCTAATCCAATGCAGATGCCATAATTCAAGGATCTGTGTCCTTTGGCAAAGAATAGGGAGGGAGTGTTTTGAATCCCATATTGTAAATGAATTGTGTTTAATATGCTAATCTAACAGAGTCTTTTTCAATTTAAAGTAAGATAAGATTTCAAAATTAAAAATTCAAAATGCAGGCCAATCATAGCGTCAACAATAGATCTCATCAAGAAATAGATGGTCTTGCACAGATAGAGAGAGATAGATCGGCAGAACAAACGAGAAAAAGTCGGAGAATATACAAGTTATATCAAAAAGTATGTGAGGAGGCAATGAAACATGATAAAACCATCGAGTTTGACCTATACAAGATTGCTGGGATATCTATCTTAAGTGCAATTTGGGTATTGCGATATCTGGGGACATTATTGACTGAGTACCAATCCACATACGAGAATGGGATAAATACATCTATGTCACCAGCGATGTTTACCAGAGGAATACATTTGCTAGAAGCCTTCCAGGCTAGTGTTAAAACTACATGTTACGTTACCGGCACTTTACTCTTTCTTACCTACATCTGTGCACTTGACTGCTTAAGCTTCATAAGAAACTTTACAGTAACAACCAGCATGTGTATCGCAAAGACGCTTTTTTTGATTGTGCAGTATAGTACTGCGTTCTATGTTACGTCATTTCTTCTTACTTTTACAAGTCATTGGGCATTTATCTTTATACTATCCTTCTTCAACATCACATGGTTGAACCTCTTTATAACGATATTGACCAATATTCACAAAATAGTTAAGGAAAACGATCAGGAAAATGAGAACAACCAACCTGAAACTAGGAAAGACCGAGCTTCTATGTCAGAAATGATAAGATCGCTCCCGAAAATGATCCCAATGATTAGATATGGGATTATGCCAGGCCCACTAGCACTTGGATTAGTGGGTTTGCTAACCATAGCTATATTGACAATAGAGTGCAATACTGTGCTTATTTGGGGCTACATAGAAGCAACAAAACCTCAACTCTGCTACTTCACATCTTTCGAAATAGGTTGTAATGCCTAATGCACTCAAGCCATATAGGTATGAGGACTTAATTCGACTTTTATGCAGGATACTTCTCTGAACTGATTCACAAGGAAGTTTGTTTTTGACCGTTGGTTTTTGAGATATTTTGAGATATCAAGATCTTAAGGCATCTAAAACTAATCTTAAATAAAGGAACTTTGCATAAGTCTGAGCATTAAATAAGCCATATAGTTCTGGGCATGTATTAACATCAAATTATATATCATTATTTGTTACATTGCCATTAGCAGATAAGATACTGTTGTGCCCCAGGGGAGGATAGAGACCTCTCATCCAAATATACTCAACGAGAGACAGGTCATCACACAGGCTGATGCCGGTTTTATTGATTAGAGGTTCGAGTTGAGGTTCTGGGGTGCGAGTCTGAGCCGTTTCTAGTTCTGATATAGTTCTGTGCGAATCCTTCATATATCTCATGGAAGCCATAGAAAGTCCTTTCTCAATCTTCGTCGTATATTTATACTCTGAAACAAGTGATAACAAGATTGAGATTTCTTTTGGAATATCTTAGCTTATCTAAAGTAGTACGGAATAAATATCTAAGTTATTTGCCCCTGTAGTTAACTCGTCTAAAAGTAGAGATATCTCGAGAGCCTCATTAAAGATGTGTGGGGGATGGCACGGACACCACAATAAGTATTTTGATTCAATAATGCCAGTTCTTGATATGAACTAATTTGTGACATTTATGCCATACAGCATTAGCAATAATGAATAGCTTGCCAGCGGTCGTATGACATCACAACAATAAGTAAATGAAGACTAAAATGGTAGAATATGTGTGCTGGTTTTGAATTAACTGTGCTTACATACTAGTATGATCAAATGCGTTTTTACTTTGAGATACGACTTAAATATTTACATTTCAAAATTCAAAATGAAGCCTATATCTACAGCTAGCAACACTTCTCAACAAGCCGCAGTTGTTCCTGTGGGAATAGAAAGAACTACTGCGTTGGAACAGTTTATAAGAAATAGCGGCATCGGCCGATTCTATCTACAGATGCATGAGGAGAACAGGAAACACGAGACAACAGACGAAGGTCTAATATATGCCACGACTTTGCTCATGATCGTTTCTATGGTTTGGGTAGTGCGGTATCTGGAAGCATTATCGAATGATTATTATCCCACAAACGAAAGTGGGATAAATACATCTATGCCACCAGAAGCGTTCGTCAAAGGAACACGCTTGATAGAAACTTGCCTTGGTATTCTTAAAGCTACCTATGGCATTGCCGGCGGATCAACCATTTTTGCTTACATTTGTACACTTGGTTGGTCTAGATTCAAAAACAGCTTTGCAGTAACAACATGTGTGTGTGTCATACGTACGTTTTTGGTGGTTTTAGTTCTGACCTTGGTCTTCTATGTTACGTCATTTCTTCTTATTTCTACAAGTCCATGGGCATTTATCTTTATACTATCCTTCTTCAATCTCACATGGTTGGGTGCGCTTCTATCGATGTCGAGAAAGATACATACACTGATTAAGAAAAGCAATCTAGCAAATGAAAACAGTGTCAACGTGGCCGAGGAGAATCGTTCAGATCCTGAGAACAATCAACCTGAAACCGAGGATTGTGAACTTAGTATCTCAGAAACGATGAGATGTTTGCCGAAAGCGATTAAGTTGATTATGAAGGGAATTATGCTACGCCCGTTATTATTGGGGCTATTGGGCGTGCTAACAACATTGATACTCATAATCGAGTATAATACAGTGCTTATTTGGTGTTATACAGAAGCAGTAGGTTCTAAACCTCTTCCCTTAGGTCTTCTCTGGTCGATTGTTTAATGCCTAATGCACTCAAGCCATATAGGTATGAGAACTGAACTCGACTTTTATGCAGGATACTTCTTTGAACTGATTTGCAAGGAGGCTTGTTTTTGACCGTTGGTTTTTGAGATATTTTGAGATATCAAGATCTTAAGGCATCTAAAACTAATCTTAAATAAAGGAACTTTGCATAAGTCTGAGCATTAAATAAGCCATATAGTTCTGGATTTACACTTGTTTGAAGTTATCTACGAATTCAATGTCTGCGCGGTCTAAACACTCTGTCATGGACTCAGTATTAAGTCTATCTACAACCAGTCTAGCCCTCGCAATACTATCACTACCATAACAAACAGCCACTAGCCCAACTCAGACCTAAGAATGAGTAAGTCTAATTGGACTGGGCTAGTACTGGGCTAGTCTAGTTTTGACAAAAGGACAATCTTACTCGGTCCTCAAAATACTATGGCCAACTCCAGTCCAACAAAAACAATCGGCACAGCACACTATCTTAATACTTACTTGATAATTAGAAGGTTTATTAGTGCTAATCAGAAAGGTTGCTAGGCCGAAGATATACAACACCATTGGAGCTTGTGCTGGGTATGCCGCCGGATGGTTCTTCAGTATAGTAGACTGGAGCAGGGTATGCATGAACCGGCTGGTATTGCTGGCGAGGCTGCGGCTGCTTAATGGTCACAAGAGGAGGTGCACTCTCAACCACAGAGACCGGCTGCAGAATCGTTGTAGTCCGTTTCGGCTGGGAGGGAATAGAGAGAGTCTCATTGATCCGATGAAGTTCATGCTGAATGTGATCAAGAGTCTGTGCATTAGGATCAGGATGAATACTCTCATCATAAGACGGGTATTGGCCATCAGTAGCCACTAGAACTCGTCGTGGTTGAGCAATAACCGGAGGTGCTTGCGACTTCCGCGACCGACTAAAAGGCGAGCGGAACCACTTCTTCTTCTTCTTAACAGGTGCCGGGCTGGCATAAGCCGGATATGCCGAAGTCTCCGGCGGGTATAATGAAGAATGTGAAGCATATGGTTCATAAGCAGGTGTTTGGTAATGCGAGTCATAAGGCTCCTCAAGTTCAGACTCTTCCAGTCTCTTCTTCCCAAATCCTAATTTCCGCTTAGTCTTCCTAGCTAAGTTACTAAGTCGCGGCCATTTCGAAGCCGGTTTATCCGAAGCAAGATTGTCCCCATCAAACTCCTCATTAAACCGTCGCCCCTCAATATCCCGCACATGACCATGACCATAATCATAATCATATCCCGCATCACCATGTCTATAAGTTTCTCTATCTCGTAACTCATCAAGATCTCTTCTTGTTCTACTATCTCTTATCACATCATCAACACTATCATCAGAACTCTTCTTCCAAGGCATATACCATCGCTTCTTATTCTTCCTCTTCTCATCTTGCTTAGCCTCTTCATTCTTACGGAGTTCTTCTCGAATAGCAGCACGTAATCGATCACTCTCAGCCACCGCCAAACTAGATTTACCAGTCGGACTATTTGGATCTTTTCCTGCCGGGCCTAAAATCTTATCTAACTTTTCAAATTTCGCATCAACTTTCTTACTAATCTTCTTTTCTCTTTTAAGCCGTTTCTTCTCTTCTTTCTCAGCCTGTTTAGCTTCTTTCTTAGTTAGAACTCGATTAGGTTTGTTATCCACCACTATACTCTTAGAAATAGCATCATGAACCATCTGTCCTTTCTTATCTGTACTACCAATTGTTATCACAATTTCCTGAGCCTCAGGTCCTAAACCCACCACCCGAGTCTCTTCATGCACGCGACGCCGAATCACTCCATCACTACCCACACTATTACTTATCATACTAACAACTCTATCACCCACCCGCCTAGTCGGCATCACCACCACTACACTACTCGTACTTACTGGCCCACCACTCACTATTCCACTCCCACTCCCACTTCCAATATTCCCAATACTCCCCACACTCACATTAGGTATGGCACTAGGCACTACATTACTACTAACTCCTGCCCCTACGGCCACACTCGGCACTACATTACTAGGCACTACATTAGGCACTGCATTATTAGGTGTAACACTAGGCACTACATTAGGCACTCCATTCATTGGAGGAGGACAAATAATACTCCCATTACTACCTAAACCAACACCAACACCAACACCAACATTACCATTAGTATTACCAACATAACCTAATCTATTAGCATTAGCCAAAAGACCTTCTATTCGACCCGGACCTATACCAAGCCTAGTCAGTCCCCCTAACATACTCGGCCATAATTGCGGCCGATCCAAAGGCACAAAGACCGGTCGAGGCAACAGCCTTACCGCAGGCATATTCTGACCAACCATCCATGGCTGCCTACTCCCTAACTTCTCCCTATATAAATGACAAATCCCATTCAGTCCCATTACTCCCCCCATTGACAAACAAGCCCGTACATCTATCGCCCCCAAGACATAACTAGTACTCACTAATAGAGTAATAGTACTCCCTATTCTCATACCCATCCACTAATTAGAGACTTATATTAGGCATTCAAAACATAGTATCAAAATCGTCACTATGTATCTCATTCACTATCTTTTGTTTTACAATGACCCAATAAAGCCGATTAATTTTTTGTTTACTATGGGCTCAGTCATTAGTAACTTCTTGAAAGCTTTTGGGGGCCACGTGGCTAAAAAGGTTCTTATGGTAGGTTTAGATAACGCCGGAAAAACAACAATTTTATACACCTTTCAGGCTAAAGGTCTTACAGCTTCAGTTGATGAGATAACGGTGCCTACAGTTGGATTTAATGTGGAGAATATCAAAGTAGGAGGAGTAACCATTACAGTTTGGGATATCGGAGGCCAAAAGAAGATAAGAAGTCTTTGGGGTTTTTATGCAGATGGCTTATCTGGACTTGTTTATGTGATTGATATTGAAGACCGGACGCGATGGGAGAGTGCAGTGGAGGAGTTAAAGAAGATCCTGGATAAGGATGCAGAGAGTTCTCGGGAGAGATATCCCGTGCTAATTTTAGCTAACAAAATAGATAAGGTGCCTGAATCTAAAGCCAAAGAGGTACAAGAGGCTTTTATCCAGACTTTAGGGCCATCCCAGCTGTTTAGTGGACATCCCTGGCGGATCTTTCAGTGTTCGGCCAAGCATGGTGATCTTTCGGACATTACGCAGGGATTTACCTGGCTAGCCGATCACCTAACGGAAGGAAGTGCACAGGGTAAATAAAGGTTTAGTTTGGGTTAGTATTAAGTTGAGTTGGGTATTGAGTGGGTTGAGTTAGGTATTGAGTTAGGTTAGGTTAGATTAGATTGAGTTAAGATTAGATTAAATTGGGTTGTGTTGTGTTGTGTTGCGTTGAGTTAGATTATGTTGAGTTAGATTATGTTGAGTTTAGATTAGATTAGGTTAAGTTGAGTTTAGATTAAGTTTAGATTAGATTAGATTGATAAGGGTGTATGATGTAATTAAATTGTATTGAGTTGGTTTGTGATGTATTGTGATGTATTGAGTTGTGGTGGTGTTGGATTGGTTTAAGGTAAAGTAAGGTAGAGTTAATATTGGGGTGTGCTGGGGTTTAGATAAGGGATGGAGATGGGGGATGGAGAGTAGGATGAATGGATGGAATGTTTGGATGGTGGTAATTTCTTTTATGGAGTTAGAAGTAATGCTTAGACAACATATGGCTGGAAAGGTAGATATTTGGTCAGTAGCTGAGGTTTATGCCCGGAAAACAGGGAATGAGATGGAGGGTCGATTGAGTCGTGAACAAGTGGGGTGTTATGTGCTTTATAAGACTTTGGGCTTTGATAGTTGCGAACGATTAGTCTTACATAAAGAAGTCTTGCAGAAAGCTTATACAGTGAAGTACGTACCGGGTTTGGTTTCGGCATATGGTGGACGAATGATTAAGGAAATGGGTGGAGGTGGGAATAAGCAAATTGGTCTGGGAGTTTTAGACTTGTTGCTTTGGGTAGTAAGACAGATAAAGGATTTGGGAGAAGTATTTGAATTAGAGGAACGTTTGGGGTTGTTGTTGCGACAGTTAGATGTAAAAGATAGTTTAGAACTGGCTATTGAGATATTTAGACGAAGTAAAAGTAGACCTTTTCAGGAGTTAGCAGTTGAATGTATTCTGGCGGCGGGTGGATATACAGCCGGGATAGAGCAAGAGTTCTCGGGAATTGCTAATCGAGTACTAAGTGGGCCGAGTTTAGAGAAGGAATTAGAAATAGCAGGTGAAGCAGTAGTGCGTATGGCTGGAATTGTGCCGGGTGCAGCAGATGAAGTAGTTAAGGCTTGTATAAGCAAGGCAATGAGTTTAGGACCGGGTGGGAAAAGAGAAGGACTGATTGCATGGCTTAGTCGGATAAACCAGCAAGAAGGTCTTAATCAGCAGGCCTGGGGTCTTTTGGGTGGTAAGGAAGAGAGTGTTCTGGCGAAGGGAAGTATTGAGTCTTCTAGTAGTTCTAAGTCAGTAATAAGCCAGTACTACTCTCAACAGCAGGAAAGAGTAAGTCTTCATGCGGGTCAGGCCCAAGTCTTTGCGGCAGTTTGTCGGTTAGAATCTAATTGGGTGAAGATTGCTCGGCAGGTGAGTGGTGAGGAGTTCTTATTCTTGGCTGAAGTATGTCGTGGTGTTCAATTACAGCCGGGTACGGAAGAGAGTCGAATTGGGCTTTTACGAGTTCTAGAAGTAACTGGGGAGAAGGCTTTTCTTGATAACCATCCCATCTCTAAATTGATCCAGATAGAAACAGAGATAAAAACGGGATATGATGCATATTTGAATGTAGTCTTTAAGGAAAAGTATCAGCTAAAGCACTCAGTTAATATTGTTAATGCTTTAGTTGACTATGCCTATCAGGGACGGATTGTTGACATTGCCATTCAATTAGGAAGTATTATTAAGCACCAGGACTATATTGCTAGAGTTAGTCGCTGGCAGGTAAATAAGCCGGTTGGTGATATTGGACTGATTAGTCGGACTTTAATTAAGATCATAGATAAGAGTTATTTCAAGAAAACTGATTTGGTTCAGATTTTCAAATCACTGGTCTATCTTATCTCTACTGAGAACCAGGAGACTCAGGAAGCAATCTTTAGTATTCTAGCTAGTATTCTTAGAATGCATGCTGAGCTAGATAAAGGTATTAAACCGGCTTTATACGGCCTCCCTCGAAGTACTTCCTTAAGTATTAGCCAAACGGAAAGCAGTGCTGATACTAACGATCAAGAAAACACAATGGTGATTGCTAATCTTATCTTTGAAGAAATACTTGGTGCTGATCTTCATTGGCAACCCCAACTCTCTCTCCTTTCACTAATTAACACTATGATCAGATGTACAGGTGATTTTTTAGTCGGCCGGATTGAAGACCAGATTCTTGGACCAGTACTTAGATACTATCTGCAAAAAAGATTTGTTTTACCCAATCAGGAAATCAAAATTTTAGGTGAGTTTTTATTATTGATATGCCAATATCCTATCCAATTTAACCGTTATTTTGATTTAGTACAGCTTCTTCTGATACACTACGATAGTAAGATTGCCCATGCCGAAACTTCTTTAAACGAGCTTTTTCGTCGCAACAAGTACGCTTTGCTCTTTGCACTAGCCAACAGTACAGCACGTGCTGGCAAAGAGTTTCATGGATGTTCCCGGCATAGTAGACAGCTAATTCAGAGAATTTTTGCTAAATAATTATGCGGAGTTCTTCTACTTGCAATCTAACTACTTTTCCGACTAGTAGTGGTGTTTCGGCTCTTGAGTATAGAGATGTTTTGCGATATGCCCTTTGGGACGGCCAAATTGGCGAGTATCCAATTAGTTCAGCTGATAGCCCTAGTATTAGCGCCCCTGCCTTGAGTATTTGCACTATCTCGACTGACGAGGTTTATATTGGAACAGTGGCGGGAGAAGTCTGGCGCGTGACTGGCAGTGAGAAGAAGATAGTTGTGCAAAATCAGGAAGTTAGAACGTATGGTGGGTGTAAAGTCTCTTCAGTGGTAAGTATGCACCGGTTTAAAGACCAGCTGGTTATTGTTTTCTTAGTGGGTAAGGTCTGTCTCTACCATTTGGAGCGGCACCAAGTCACTAGTGAGTACTGGGTCGATGGGACTATTACTCTTTCAGCGATAAAAGGTGATTTAGTGGCTTATGTAGTGAACAACACCAACCTAGAGACATACAATCTGCAAACAGGCCAGATTGAGAAGCGAGTCTGTTTAGCAGCGATGATAACTCGGATTTGTTTCTTGCATGGCGAGGCGAATGTTGTTGTTTGTGGAACTGCAGATGGTAAAGTTACTTTGTGTTACTTGGATACAGTAGAGGCAGATTTTACCTTTAAGGCCCATCGTAAGACTAAAGCGAATGAAGAGATCTTCTTTCCGGTAGTGATGCTGGCTTCACTGACTGTAAATGAGCTAATTACGGGCGGTGCTGATGGGAAGGTTTATCTTTGGGACATAAAACGCCGGCATAAGATCAGTACTTTGTATTCAGCTAAGCGCACGATTCTGGCTGGTGAAATATCGGTGGCTCGGGAAAAGAAGCCATCAATGTGTTTAGTGCTTGGTAGTGGAATAGAAAGTCTTTATGCGCCGGAACCGCAAGCTGGGATTAATATTTGTATTGTGCCTTTAGCCGGCCAGATCTACCTTAACCTGTAGGGCTTAAACAAAGCCAAAGGAGTATCTTGGGCTTAAGGTACTGCTGGTGGATGTAAGTCTAATAATAAATGGTGTAGTTGGTCTTAAAACGGGATGATTGAAACTTTATTGATAAGTCTAAGCTGAGTTGGTGGGGTTGATGCGATCAAGAGTAATTGTTAGTTTGGGTTTCATTAGTGCTCCGCCAGTAAAACACAGTGCCTGTCGGGCAGTCAGTGCAGTTATCTTGTACTCGACCGCTGCGGCTAGTGATGAGTTAGGTAGGCGGGGAACGAGAGGACTAGCTGGTTTGAGGTAAACCTGGGCGATGCTTTGACTTGGATTCACATTGGTCAGTATGATTTGAATGGCCAGGGGGAAGTAGAGATAGACCCAGTAAAGAACTTCTTCAAGTTCGGGCACAGTTTGGAGTACATTGTCCAGAGGTGAAGAAGCGGACACGTTTGGTTCTTCGCGCCAAAAGACTAAGTTGACATGGCTACACTCGGACAGTAAAGCTGGTGGGGTGGCTTGGTGCTTGCTAAGATCCTCACGTATTTTAGTCACGCCTACATCAAGTATAGTAATGGCCTTGTTGTCGCCATGGGTAAAGTAGTTATGAAGAACTTGAATGCTGGCCTGTCTGGTGGCTGAAAGATGTGGATTGGTTTTCATAGTAGATAGTGCCTGCGTGTCAGAGCCGAGCTTGGTCATACCGTGTGCATTTACATCGAATAATTGTTGCCAAGACATTGCGGTTGGCTTTCCATCCGAGAGCAGTGCGGATGTTTGGGTGGCAATAATGAATCCAAGACTAATCAGTGATAAGACTAAACTACGTTTACTGTGATAGGCGAACATTCTTGTAAATCAATGAAAATTAGTGATTTAAATCAGTGCAATTTAATTCGCTGGTATCTTCTGTTCAGTTGGATGACAGATAAGTTGCACATTGGGTAATAGCAAGATATGAGTGTTGCTGAGAGTTCCGAGAATCCGACTTACTAATAGCTGTTTATAAGACAATGTATTGGGTGAGTTGTTTCTGGGTAAGGTCAGTCATAAACTATCGTATTTATTCAAAACGCTCTCTATTTAAGCTTTGGAAATTAATCGTTGACATTTCAATATATGAAATGTAAACGAACATTGGAGATGTAAACAAATAGCTATGACAAGTCATTTTTCTATTCCGTAAGTATTTCATATGGAAATGTATGGCCTATGGACATACAACAAGAACCTAATATATACTAACCCAACTTTCGTGTTATAGTGCTATATACAGTTCTTAAATACTTATAACATCTTAAATTAACCCAATACTAACCAACCCAATTCTTTTGAAATTGATCATATCGCATTTACTATTTAATGAGTTTTATTTCATTTTGAATATGCCTTATCTCAAAAGTCGAATTACG